TTATAGGAGTCGTGGAATTTATAGAAGCTTAGAAGCAGAACATCCATGGTGGTGTTCTCTGGAATACTTCCCGTGCCATGTGCGAGTCAGGCTAAGTTAGCTGAGATAAGGAGATTAAACGCGTGGCTAAAAGGGTGGTGTAGGAAAGAGGGGTTTAAGTTTATGGGGCACTGGAAGACCTTCTGGAACAGGTGGGACCTGTTCAAGTCAGACGGGTTGCATCTGAACCAGAGGGGAACCAGTGTATTGGGGAGGTGTATGTGTTGAGTAGTTGAATGTTTTAACTAGGGACTGGAGGGGCAGGGAGGTTAGTTAAGAATATAGGTGGGAAGAGACGGAAAGCCCCATTCAATAATTAAAGTGGGCACTGTAAAAGGCCTACCCTTTGCGGTCTGTATTTAAACGCTAGGAGTATTAGAAACAAAATTCATGATTTAGAGGCTTTAATTTCATCAGACACTTATGACATTATAGGAATAACAGAAACATGGATGAGTGACAATCATGGAGAAGAATATAATATGGATGGTTATACGTTGTTCTGTAGAGACCGGATAGGCAAGAAGGGAGGTGGTGTTGCAGTATACGTAAAAGAAAACTTGCAGGCAAGGGAGCTCACTGATAATAATAAAGGTACAGAAGCTGTTTGGGTAAAACTAGATGCTTAAAAACTCAAATGGCCTAATTGTCAGGGTTTGTTACAGAGCACCTAATGTAGCTGCAGAGGAAAGCAGAATGTTATATGATGATATCAGGATTATGAGTAATAAAAATGATGTGGTGCTTATGGGTGATTTACCTGGGATACAGTGGGACACAGTCTCTGGCTCTTCTGTAAATGAACTTGAGATGGTGGAATTAGTACAGGATTGTTTTTTTACGCAGTTTATGGTCATAACATTGTTAAATTTGAGGTTAATTTTAGTGCCCGAAGAGCAAAGTCCAAAACAATAGTATACAATGTTAGGAGCGCTAACTTTAATGGCATGAGACTGAAACTAGAAACTGTAAACTGGTTGGAGTTAAACAGCAAAACAGTTGAAGAGGCATGGGAATTTTTTAAAAGCACATTGTTGCAAGTGCAAGAGGTCTTCATACCTGTTTCCAGCAAAACTGTATCTATGAAACTGCAAACAAGGTGGTTTACTATGGAAATTAAGAATAAAGTCAGGAGGAAAAGGGCTCTCTTCCACAAATGGAAAATAACTAATGATTTCAAAATAAAGCAGGATTATCTAAGTCTAGGTTGAGTTAAAAAATGACATTAGACTCGTCAAGAGGAATGTGGAAAGGAAAATTGCATTGAAGGTTAAGGATGACTTTTTAACTCCAAAAGAGCTCTAAAAGTTGAAATCACTAATTTGCAGGATAGTAAGGGCCTTATAATTGAAAA